CATAACTCTGGTGATCCAAATGGGAGTAAAAATTTATACTAAAAATTGAACCGGATTTTAAATGAATGTTTGATGTCATTGCCTAAACCCCCTAATATGTATGTCAACCCGATAACCTTCATTTCTCGTTTTATTATGCGAATATTAAACAACATAACGTTTTAAAATGCCATTCATATTTGAACGCTTTTCAGGATTTGTGCGAGGAACATTTTTTTCCTTTTTTTCCCATATAACGCTGAATTTATCTACGAGCTTGAAAAATCATATGAATATGATTAAATGTACACCGGCCTCGAATTTACAAATGCATACATCTACAGCCTATCTAAAAAGGCTTTAAAATTAAACAAACAAACAAAAAATAAAGAATAATAAACAGTTTGAGCGTTATTTCTGAGGTGAAAAAAATAAGATCACTTACTATATCTTTCAGTTCAGCAAACCCACACAAGGCCCTTCCTATCAGGAACAAACAAAATACACGACCCTTCATGTTAAATGTTAGAGACGATAAAATGAAATACAAGTTGATAATACCCGCAATCTTAGTCAAACTAAATCATGATATCATATCTGTATGAAAACCATCTATTCATAGACATTAACGTCATCAATTTGAAGACGTTGTTTGCTTATTTTGTTGATTTTTGATGCGGGAACAGCCACTTTCAAGGTCATATGAGGACAACGAATCTTACAATCCATGGGTTCCTCTTGTGTCCTATTCGTATTTCAGGAAACGGGTCTATGCCTGAGCAATACTTAATCATCCATCCTCCTGTATGCAACTACGTGTTTTCTACTCTAAAAAAAGAATAACACATATTTCGGGCTGCTCCATGAACAGTTTATAATACAATAGACAATGTCCAAATTCACAATCAATACGGCTCTCTTGGGCAACCTTTAAGATCTCTACTTGTGACCCATTGTCAATTTAAGTAAACTCGAACTTGTACGCTCTTCGGTTTCAAGTTCACAATTATAGTCTTGCGCATGGATCGAGTTGAAATTGATATTTATTTAAATCCCTAAAGCAGGGTTATTATCTGGACTCGTATGACCACTCCTCATATTTGTTGCCTTAAAAGTCTGGTACATCATTACAACATTTAAGTGTTTATTGATTTACTATTCTATCTTCTTATTTTTGGAATAATATTTAGTTTCTTTTAACTTTATTTTTTTTTTCAAATTAAGCATTTTCATTTTTGTCCAGTTTTAATGAATGTTTATAGTTTACATTTTGTACTGGTTTGAACTAAAGAAAAAAGTAATAGTAAACTTATTACGTTTATATTTGAGACTACTAGTTCATGTCGCTTATGATTGTTACATTATCTTTAGGAAATCTACATCCAAATCTCTTCAGTGTTTCGAAACAAACATTAGTTTTAAGTGCAATCTTTATACAGTACTTATAGATAATAACAAAGCCATATTTAATATTATTCCTTTAATCGGATTTTATCATGACACTTTAAGATAACCTGAATTGTTTCACTGATTTTTTTCAAAAAAAAGGGTTGGGGGTTAATTTTTGAAAAAAAGGGGTAATATTTTTCCCTCATCCACACAAGGGATATTGTGTAAAGCGGGATTAAACATTTTCGGTCAATTAGTTATAAACCCAAGTCTTTTGAATGGGTTTAACCCGTATCCCTTTGGGTCACCAGAAAAAGTAACAAAAAATTTTAAAAAATTAGTGACTTTTGTAATATCCCGTGAAAAAAAGTGGGAAACATTCTTTCATGATGAAGTCCGTCCCCCCGTCTGAAGTCCGTGCGCCAAATCTTCCTTGACCAATCAATTACTTGAGAATAAATAAGCGTTTGTAAATATTTCTTAAAAGTTATACATGTTTTTTCTATGACCAGTATTTGTCAAATAGTGATTTTGAAGATTTTAGGTCAAAGGTCAAGCCCGCTGTTGCATTGAAAACTAATAAGATTGCTTCACTAATTTTAGGGAACGTTTGGCTTACATTTCTATGATTTGGTGCGAAACAAATATATGTCAAAATTAGTAGATGACTCCTTTTGATTTCGAGGTCAGTATGTTTTTTTAAATGGGTCATGGTTCAAGGGGGTTGACTTTTTTTTTGACAATTTTTAAATTTTTCCCTTGTTTGGCTTTTAAAAACCTCGAGAATTCTTTTTGCTTGTAATTTTGCTAAATCACCTACAAGAGAATACTTTGATTTATAGCCCTAAGATTTGGTGTGGAGGTTGGTCATTGCTAGAAAAAGAATCCTATTGATTTAATGGTTATTAAGTCAAACGTCACCGTGGAACTGAAAGCTTGTCCGACCAACAACTAAATAATACTATAACAAACAGTCCTAAGATCTATTAGGAGTTTGTCATGTCAAAACATGATTAGTCTTGAATTGAGGTCAGTGGGTCAAAGGTTAACGTCAATGTGACTTTGTACACTGAATGTTTGTTTGACAAATAACTAGAAGAAGTCTGTGGCCGTCATTCCTGAAAGGAGTTGGGATAAAAGATGGCCTTTCAATTGATTTTGAGGTCATAAGTCAAAGGTCACATTTGGTGTTTTATCACGGACAAGAGTTCCATTAGTCATAGACAAATATGCCACTTATTAGAAATGTTAATGGAATGACGCTTTTGACATCATTATAATGTTATCTGAGATCGGAATATTTTTCAAAATCAGCATAAATTGTTACCTGCACTTTGTTGCATGTAAAATGTTTTGTTGTCCGCGAAATATTTATTGGGCCTCATAACAATAATATTATCGTTATTTTTAAATTATTTTGCAATTAATATATCTTAATGATTTTTTAAGAATATACGTAAGTATGTTATACATACCGCTTTGACAGCCAAATAAATGGGGCATTTATATTCCTTTATAATGATATTAAGTTTTTTTTGTACTTTATTCCCTATAGAGCTAGTTCTATTTTTATTTTTCCCGGTCACCTAACATGAAAACAATAAGTTCAAACAATGGGCATTACGTGAATAATCACCCTCTTCAGGAAAGATCAACGTTCCACAACAAATAAGCAAACCGAACAGGTTGGTTAAACCCAGATACTGTGTTATTACTAAGCATTGATTTCTGCATGAATAAAAGATTCAGAAATTACCCAGAAACGGTTAAACCAAGTTTACCACAACTGAGTTGTTTTTCAAACACTGTCCAAACGCCTGTGATATACCGTTCATTTTTCAAATGTTACAACCATCGACTTAACAGGTACATGGTAACATTAAATGCAAAACCGATATGGAGACAATATCCTTTTCCTTTCTGAAAACATTATTTGATGGGGGTTTCCAACTTAATATTGTATGGTATAATGTACTATTGACTTTTTATTGTATAACTGGGGATTTGGTTTTTGTTTGTTTTTTTTGATTTAACGGCGCCACCATCGCATAATAGGTCATATGGCGCCGAAACCCCGCGAAATATGCCTTTTTGCTAACCTCGTGTGTTACAATCTTCAAAACAACACCAATGGGTCAAAAATCACCTCACCTGCAGGAGCTCGAAGAAAGCCCCAAAAAAACTTCCCAAATTTTTTAAAACAAATTTTAAACGCTTCTTACGAAACAACGAAAAGGGGGAAAAGGTGGCTTTCATTTCTTTATCCCCCCAAACATTAAAAAGGCCCAACCCCCCAACCAGCAGGGGGGGTTTGATGAAATTATGAAAAATTAAACCCGATTGCAGCATTTTGGAAAGGACAGAAGACACGTGATGGCCAGTCAGACTCAAAATTTTCCCCAAAGGGGATTATTCCCTTTTCAGTCTTCATGACATTAAAAAGTTTTGTAAGAAAAAAAAAAGGGGGAGGTAAAAAATAACTTTTTGGGGAAAAACTGTTCAAAATTGTAAACTAGGGGAAAAAAAGCCCAAAAACAGGTTTTAACAAAATTTTTAATACAAATTTTTGTTTATTGATTAAATCAAAGTTATAATAAAATCAAGAAGTTCCCCAAAAGATTGTCTTGCTAACTGGTGTGTGATTTCTTGTACATTTCCTTACATCACAGTCGTGTTTTTAATAGTCATCATCTGCGTTTTGATAGTGTTATGTTCGTCATTGACCCTCATCCCTATTCGCCACTGTTACGTCACCAAGATCTACCAGTCCGTGTGCAATTGTGGCGTCACCCATTATTCACCTCTACATTCGCCATTGTTACGTCGACATATCAATCCCCTCCATTTAGCCATTGTGGTTTATCATACCCTCTGCCTCCGTACGCGCTACAGTTATGTGTTCTGTCTCTACTTTAGCAACATTAAGTTTTCTACGGAAAACTGGATGGCAGGTCTGCTGACACTGTCCCGAATAATCAGTGTGATGAACAGAAAACAGGCGTCACAGAACACGTGTATACCTTCATGGTTGCTAGCGTACTCGAAATCCTCGAACACAAACTTTGTCTCGTGAGAAGACTGTGTTATAAGGTGCGTGTTTGAATCAACTTCACAACTGGAAAAAGACAGACACGTCCATGAGAAGAGTTTATTAATATATTTAATAGCAAGAAAAGGTTCAATAAAAACAATAACATAATGTTATACAATTATAGTCAGTCTTGATTGCTCAGGAGTATCATTTAGATGAAATCATTATGAACTTTACATATACCAAAGTTATCGAAATCCGTAAAATATGCCACGTGGTCTTGCTATAGTGTTGTGTGACATATTGGCTATTTTTAAGAATACCCTCTTAAAATGAAATGTAACAGGACTAACCCATTTCGTATAAGAAAGAATTTCATATGGTCTTCAGCATTCTTGATGGGTTTTGGTGTAAACGGGTAAACAACCAATCTTAACCACTCCAAGTCCCGGTGTCGTTGATAAACCCTTCACGTTATTACTTTATCGCCAAACCGAAAACACGCAGTGGATTTACCATAATTGTTCGCATTTAAAGTTAGGGATCCCGATTTTTAAAATGACATTTTTTTCCGAGAAATGAAACTACTTCCCGGTCAACTTCAGGGTAACGCTAAATGGTTGTTATCATGGTGTATGTGAGCTAAAAATATGGCAATATATGTGAATATTCAATGTAACTGACAAGTGGCTTAGTAGGCCGTATGAACTGCATCAGTTTTAGAAAAAAAGACATAAATTTAAAGAACAGCTAGATAATAATACGTTTGAGACCAAAAACAAGTATACTATAGCAACTGAATTATTTGTAACGCATCTAAATATACATGTTTGATTTGTTTTTAATCAATTTTTTTACTATTTAATTGCTAGTAGCATCATGATAACGGCGTTCCTACGCCTACAGCATATAGCAAAGCAAGACCTAAACTCCGCATAGTGCGAAAATAACCCAGTGTAGCAATACCACGTGGCCGTAATGTTATTTTTGGCATCATTTCCAAGACAAATGTTGCTCGATTCGAAAAAATGAAATGGCCGTAAGTATTTTATTTCTGTTCCAATTTCTTTTGGATATGCGCCAGGTTAAGGGGAAAACACAAGCTTGCCACAGAATATTGGATCTCCTTTAGTTAATGAGCCGTTTTATTAAACCTTGTTGTTATTCCAATATCGACATGATCGAAATCCTTCAAACTATCGATACCAAATTAATAATGAAACAGAAGGGTTAAAATAACATTATTTAGAAAGAGGTACCTGACGAGCTTTCATTCCTATCAACATCACATTCTATACCAACTGTCCAGTTATAGTGCCGTATAATAAACTGATAGTTAGGATCCCTTTCAGCATACACCAACTCATTACTGTATACCAAAACGTTACCTCTTATCTGAAACAATTCCCAAATATATATCTCTAAAACGTTGTTATTAAAAAGAATATAATTATCATATCAAGTACATATCAAGAACATATTTAACGACATGTTTGAAATAAACATATAGGAACATGTGACGGCATGTTTGGAATAAAAGTATCCAAAATGTATATACAAATGTGCGTGTTATAAATAATATTTTAATAATATACTCGATATCTTTTTTGAATAAGAATATAAAATATACATTGTATGTGAAATAGCTAAATTTTGATAGTAAAATTTATATATTTTACCCATTTGTAATGTTGTGTTTTGAATAAAACACATGTGACAGCGTGTTTGGAATATAAATATATGACTGTTACTCACTGTTTCAGATGTAAGACATTCCCGGAGACCCTGCCTGAATGTTACACTACTCCAGCTTTGACTGCCAGTACACGAGTTCTCTCCAAGGTAAATATCTGACGCCCTGGCATTGGGATACAACTCACGGAGACGGTACATGTCCACTCTGATATTCCAGCCATTCTCGTCACAATCAACGTGAATTATCTCGTCCATAGTCGGTGCTATATAGTATTTAATACATTCATATATTCATACATAAATCATATGGTACATGGAACGACACTATATTAAATCTTTATTTTATTCATATTTATGATATAAACTGAACAATATTACTTTTCTTACAATGAAATTATCAAGAATTTATAGATGCATGCATAAACATTCTAATTTCAAAAACTGGACATAAGAAATTCAACCACATAGACGTGACGACATTTAATAAAATTCCATAAATCTCCTCGGACTTCTACCATTGGTAACCAAACCATCTGACTTGTTCCATTGCTTATGTCTTTATTTATTGTTCAAAGTGATCAATCTAATTCTGGGCAGTATTTGGGAACATTCATTTGCTGACACTTTTTTGTGTTCAAACGTTCTAATTGACACTCTCTCTGTAACTGACACTCGTTATGTGTTCACAAGTGACACTCTTTATGAGTTATCAAGTACTTATCGACACTATTTATGTGAACACCGGCCAGTGCCAAATGACACCCTTGTGTGATCAACATTGCTTATTGCTACTCTGTGACTAATCCATGCTTATAAACACTCTTTGTGCGTTCATCCAGCGCTAATTGGTACTTTTTGTGTTCACCAGTGCTAAGTGTCACTACATGTAACACTTTTTGTTTGTTCATTAGTGCTTATTAACACTCTGAGTGTCCACCAGTGTTATCAACACACTTTCTGTGTCGAATACCCGTCTGTGTTCAGCATTGCTTATTGATAATGTGCGACTTACCCATGCTTATTGACACATTTTGTGTTCATTAGTGCTTATATTGACGCTCTTTGTGTTCATTAGTACTTATATTGACACTCCTTTTGTTCATTAGTACTTATATTGCAACTTTGTTTGTTCATTAGTGCTTATATTGACACTCTTTGTGTGTTCTTCAGTGCTGTTTGACGCCCCTTTTGTTATTGATATTATTTGTGTGTTTACCAGAACTTAATGGCACTCTTTTTGTGCAATCAAAGTCTTATTATCAGTAATGAAAATGAACTTTAAAGCGATCAGTTAACTAGTAAGTTATAAAAAAGTATTCACAATCGTTCGAAATGTCAACTACATGTATAAAAGATCAAGTATCTTACACCGCATTATTGTTCTTTCCGTTGTTTGGTGGTACCACCAGGGTAGATTTGTTGTATCTGTATTGAAATATTAACAATAACAAATGTTTTTAATAAATGAAAAATATTCATTCATTGATTAATTCCTTGATTAATTCATTATTTATTTAATTAATTGGTTCGTTCGTTTCGTTCGTTCATTTATTCATTCATTCATATATCTCTTGTCTCGAGTAGAATTATGTGGAGAGATTATAAACCTATTTAAGAAGGTATTCATTTAACACTGATTGAAAGGAAACATATTACTTCGTATATGTGGTATGTATTTGGAAATGAAAATCTAAAATCTGAACATCTATAAAGATATTTAAGTTTTATCAAGATCACAAAAAAAATCTATATTTATTATACATGTAATTTTAGGTGCATGTTCCATATTCATACGTTGATCATATTTGAATGAAAATATTCCAGTGATGTGAAATCACAATGAGAGTAATAGCATAAAAATTATGTATTGTATGAAAACATTGTGTGTCAACACCATTCAAGTTTAAACTGAGATAAAACATACAATAGCCATAGCAATTGACACACCGACATCTTCACTATGTGAACAATCATGGGAGTACCATGGTTGGGAGTTACACTGTGACAAAACCCCATTCATCGCCGTTACAATCGAGATCATCAATTGTTATAGGCCCACTTCCAGCACCGAAAACGTGCCGAATCATATACGGTGTTGTATCTGAAAAAATAGGTTCAAGACTTGATATAGCATCTTTGTTGAAATAGTAATAATATATTGAGGTGATTTTGAGATAATATATTAATTGTAATTTATTATGTCGCCGTACAAAAATTCAAAATTCAGTTTCTACCGTTTTGAACTTTTAAATTTGTGCGGTTGTTAAAATTGTTCGTTCAGTAGTAAAATAATTCATTTTTAACACAGAGTTCATGTAAATAAGCTTATATGACAACAGGACATGATAAGGATGACTATATATAATTTACGACAATTTACGACAACTTCCGATACGTTTGAGAGTAAATACTATATGAGATACTTTATTAACAAATAACCTAAATGTAATTATGAATAGTTATATTATTGTATTTAAATCATTCTACCCATAATTCATGCCAAGAACACGGCAAACAACCCTGGCGTCACGACTATCAAAACTGTCGTCGCAGATAGTGCCCCATCGTCCATTATAAAAAACCTCCACACGTCCGGAATATCTGCTGAATCCGTTTACAAGACGTATTGCACCCTCTGACAAAATGGAATATTCGTAACGCAATTTGTACGCAATACATGAAAAGATATAACTGAATCTTAACTTTGTCAAAATATTTTCTGCAGAGAAGACACATTTCTATAAAAAACGGATTTAAGAAAAAAAATTTCTACGCAAGTGTTATTGTACGCATTTATATATGTTATTCCTTGTTACAGTTTCCAAAAAATTACCCATTTACAACATAGATAAACTATCTTGTACATCTTTTGCTCTGTTGGTAATGGACTATAATCATAGTAAACGAGTATTTTGAATAGAAGTCAAAATACTACTTAGTTTACATTTTGCTACCTTTACGACTTATAACTGCACGTTCAGCGCAACTTTCTTCAGCTGTCAAACATTTCAAATGCTCTAAAACTAGTATTAAAACATTATTAAACACGTGTTTGACATTTCTAAAGAATTAAAAAAATGGATTTCTGTGGCACAATGTGCCTCAGCGTAAGGGGCGAGTGGTTAAGATAAGAAGCATTGCACTTTAATGGTGTGAGGTTGAACCCACAATGCCTTTGATTCGAATTCCTCAACGACATGTACATTGTTCATGTTTATTGAAATAGGGAAATGATTTAACGTACGAAACGATCTTGTCATTATGTATTGAATATCTTTGTCGTACGATCCAAGCCTATTCTTAAAAATGTTGTAGTCAGAAAGAACAATCAATATATCGAGAAGAAATTAAGATACACACCGTAATTGCCGCTGCTCGCCATAACGTTATAACTTTTAGTGGTATACAGATCATATCTATAAGCTAGAATAAAAATCTATATGCTAGAATATAAACCAATGTTAAATGATTACAAAATATAATTAATAGCAATGTTAAGATTACCATGCATTCTGGCATTTTTCGCTTTAACATATTTGCAGTAATTAAATTTTAGATTATTGAGCAAACCGTCTGATACCAAAACAGATTAAAATGCTAAAACTTGGGTATAAGATGTCCATAGCCGAGTATCGCAAGGAATATTTCATTATTTCTAATGGGGTATGATGTTGCGTGTTGTTTTCAAGTCAGATACTTATGCCTAAAAAGCAGTTATCTGTTGGAAATATTTGTTGCTATTGCTATCTTTACATAAAATATATTTTAATAACAGAAACTATTCTAATCTTTCCTTTTCACTAAAGTGGTATTCTGAAAAAAAAACACTTGTAAATCGTTCCATAAGTTGTTCAATTAAAAACCAATGGCATGATAACGAGAAAACAACAACACTTTCTTTAAAGTGAACTATCGCTTAAAGAATAGAGAAATGTAAAGATATAGAGGATATTTGTTTTTTTTTGTGTGTAAGATGTAATTTTATTTCATCGAGTGGGCTTTAAAAACAGTATTCTCACGAGTAGCGTAGCCACGAGTGAGCATACTGTTTTTAAAGTTCACAAGATGAAATAAAATTACATCTTACACAACAAACAATAAATTTTCTTTTTATTTTATGCTTAAAACAAGTTAAAAAGAAATTTCCATAATATTAAAATCTGTTTTCCCCATTGAGAGCCCCATTTAGTCGGAATTTCTCATTAAATACAAGAAGTCTTGAGCTGAAAAATAAGTTCGGCAATCAACATTAAATGACGGTGATATTATTCATTTTATTAAAAAAAAATGAACGTTCGTTTGTTTTAAATAATAATAAAATCAAACATTTCTTGTAGGAGATAAAGTCCAACCATCCATCCAAATTTCTGTTACTTATTGCGAATTTATAATAGACCTGGCTTTGTTAAATGTAAGCGGCAGCCATTTTTAAAGTTGTGTATTTCACGGGACGAAAATAATTGTCTTTGATTCAGAGGGATATCATTTGGATTTGTTAGTCATACACCTTTTCAAAAGAAAGAAAACTTATTTGAGGATTGTAACAGACAAAAAAATAAGTGTTGACAGATGTGTAAACATTCAAAAAAGCAGATAGGAAAATGGAAAACTTGGAAGCTGGCTCAGGAACGCTGGGTAGTTTACTTATTCTAAGTGCTCTTGGCTGTCATTGCTTTCCAATTTTTCATAACGCATACGGCAGTTATTGCTCGTAAGATACTTTAATATGCCCAAATGTCACCAAGAGCAGTTTTGCATGTGGAAGGAATGTATTTTTCAGACTGTAAAACATGAAAAAAAAAAAAAAAAAATAGAGACGAAATTTGGTGATTGGAATTTGAATGAATAGAAGTAAGTTTTCTTCTTTTTATTACGTTTGACATTTAAGTTATTTATCAATTTAAGCTTTGCTTTTTCTTTAAACAGCCTGACATTGTCAAAATTGTCAGCAAAAATAAAATTGAGGTACCGCATGGGGAAAATCTTAGAAAAGTAGTTTCGTCATTGAAAAGTGTGAAATTATATTTTGATAATTTTCACTGTGAAATTGTCAAATATAATTTTCACGGAAAAATCAGCAATCCACTGAAAAGCATAAAATAAAATGCTGATATCATGTTGATTATATTATCAAAGCAACATATAAAACAGTATCTGTATTATATGTTGATTAAATCCCACCTACCGTAACAATCGACACCTACATCTCTGCTGTGGTCACATCCGTTTGAAAGCCAGGTTTTAGACGCACACTTAGAAATATGATTTTCATATCCATTACATTGTAGATCTTCAATAACCACATTTCCTTCTCCTTCACCGAAATGTGCCCCATAATATGCAACGCCATAGCTGTCAAAATTATTTATAGAATTGAGAGATATAACGCTAAGAATGTAATATACAAGACCTTCCTATGTTTGAAACCTGAAGGGTGTTGGTTCTTGAAATGGTATTATTATTATTCTATGAACTTTTCTAAGCTACTTAGAAAATAGCTGTTTTTGATTCAATTAATACAACCGTTAACTGTACGTTATACAACTGTATTGTTCATACAATGTGCTTACCTGCTTCCTTGGTAGAGGCCAAGACTTCGACAAATGACCTGTACATCATCGTGGTCGAAACTCGAGTCACAGATCGTCCCCCATTGACCTTTATAATTGACCTCTACGCGTCCTGAATGACCATTTCCATTCACCAATCTAATACTGGATTCTTCAAAATGTGACAAAAAAGCAAATATGTTTGCTGTGAAAATTAGTTTAATAGTAGGCTTTATTCAACATTTATATATACCGAACAAAAACGAAACTTCCGCTTTCTTTAAGTGACGATATACATGGAAAAAGGGTTAATTTATTTTTATTAGCATTCCAAAGTATTTCAATGTGTTTATGTTGTGTTTGTAAAATGATATTGCTCTACGTACGGAAAACTGATAAGATGGTTAATTTAAATATGGTGAGATCGCCACCAAAAATCATACATTTATTATGGGTTATGCCACCTTTAGAGCATCGTTCGCGCATAGAACCGACAAATGCCACTCATGGATTAGGACTTTCGTTAGTTCATTGATGGTCGACGTAGGAGTAGGACGACGTCTTTAACAAGCACCAAAGATTGACTTTAGAACTTGAAACAACTGTAAAAAAGTTTAAGTTTTACTATCTGGTTTAGCCTGAAAACGGAATAAATTTCGTTTGGACCATTTAGGAAAAAAAACTTTATCCCGTTTTCAGGACTAAACTGGATTGTAAAACTTAAAATTATATAAAGTACAAAAGCCAATCTTTGGTGCGCTACATTATTTTTTGATATTCTTACGATTTCTTATTTTATCTTCGAGCCGACGGGACGTTTATAAAAAAATAGCAGCAGCAGCAGCAGCAGCAGCAGCAACAACGACGACAACGACAACAACAACAACCCAGTCTGATTGGGGGCAATTTTGCAGGTGCGCGATGGCGTAGTATCCTACCATTGTAAGTTTCGTTTTTATTCTGTACTATTTTGGAAATTTTAAATAGATACTGGGGTCATACATATTTACCGGACAATCAATTTACCGGACAAAAGCTATTACTGCTGAATAGTGCTTTATTTTTGCTATGATTCAAAAATCATACATTCTATATTGTACGCACACTTTCTTTTTCAAAGTAAATTACAACAAAACCAGTCTCGGGTAAATATTGTTGATTCAATTCTGTATCAACTAACATGCCCTTTTTGTTTACTAGTTATTTCATGACCTGGTCATGCGGGGGAATAATCTGTTCTACGGAGGCCCGAATACGGAGGCCCTAAATATGTTATTCTAGATAGGTTTTACTTTTAATTCTTTTCAACGATACCGCAAGAGACACTCGTAACATATTTTAATGATAAAAGTAATCTTAAATTTAGTCTAAACAGTATCTCGTTGTTGTCTTTTACAAAGAAGTGCAAATTGAAAGACATATAAGGAAACGGGTTACGCCCATGGGACGAAACTCTACATGAAATGTAAATAAAACTGATTTTATGGCTTATGTAACATGCTACATGATGACAAAAAGGAAACTGTATGACAAAAAACAGAAGAACAGAATTCCATTTGATTATTAAAATGTTTCATATGTTTAAGCATCATGAAGGATCAATACGTTAATTGAGTTAATAGTTTTAATTTCAATTACACCCTATTTATTGGCCTCTTCATAACAGGCATGGCTGCCGTGTCTATTTCTAGTGACATACTGGGTTTTTCAATTATCTTAACCTTGCCATTCGATAGTGGTAGCTTCCTTGCTAGTTATTTAAAGATTAATTTCAATTCACGACTTCAAAAAGTTTTGAAATACAATGTCCGGTAAATTGAGTTGTTTACACGATTTTCCCCTCTTATAATACCTTATTTTAAAGATACATTTCTACGGTCAAATGTTTAATTTCCTGTTTGATAAAGGAACATTTACGTGCATTATTTGGGTAAAATTCCATTCTTTTTTATTATTTTAAATAAAAGTTACAGATAAAAAACTTCATATTTTGTCTGGTAATATCTAGGACCCCAGTATACCTTTGTGTATTTTACATATTTCGGGCATTCAAAGACAACAATAAGGATGTACCTGTTTGTACAGTCGAGAGCAAATATGAATTTGTATAGTATCCGCTGTCTGAAAAAAAAGCACGAAACTCTTGTCTTAATATTGTAATATATGTTTTTGTATATGATTTACACAAATCATACGCATAAACTAATTTTAGAATATAAATTTTATTTTGATTGAAAGAAGTTTTCAATATTTTGAGTCTATTTATGAAATAGCATATGCTTAGGTTACTTGGCAGACGAAATGTAAAGACGGAATAGAAATATTAAAAAGTAGAAACAAACATACAAAAATAAGAGATGTGGACTCCAGCAGACTTTATGAGTCATATCTTTTAAGATTGCAGAAGATGCAGAACATGCTTGTCTATTTAGATTTTTTCAAAATGTTAACATACATGAACAGTCAACTCCTGCTTCAAGCCCAGAACTGCAGTATGAATAGGTGCTGAATGAAGGACATTCCCAGATATCACTCTCGTATCCCTGGCAAGAAAACCATTGTAACGTCATATTACCATGACCCCTTGGATACTGGTTGTGCACATATGTAAAGTACCTTGAATAAACAAGTTTGAAGATATAGTGTGTACATTTGTTTTAAGTATGTCGTAACATTTACTGATTCTGTAGCTATATCAATCAGTTTTTCAAATTAGAGATATAAAAATTCTCGTCAAACCTAAATAGGAAGTACTAGGATGTTTACAAAAATGTAAAGTATGTTAGAGACTTGGTACATATTTAAAAAGATAAATCTTTTGCCGTTGTAACAACAAACAAATCAAACAAAAAAACCAACAACAACCCCCAAACCCCACCCACAAAAAACAACAAAAAACAAAACACCCCCCTCCCCCCAAAAAAAACGCCACAAAAAACAGCGTGCGGTAGAAGGCAAATCAAACGAATCACATGACTAAATTTCTGTACATCATGTACATGGAGTAACAATACACAACTTCCATTTTGCCACCTAGAGAGTTTGCATCTTCGTATGCGAACTGTCGAGCTCCTTAATACCTTACCTATTATACCCCAGCATTCTGCAAACAGTCCTAGCAGTTCTTGAATAGAAATGGTCGGCACAAACAGTTTGCCAACCTGTTTCATTAGAGTATATCTCTAGACGCCCAGCTTGATTAATACTGTTGCCTGCGTCCATCAGTCGTACTGTATCTATACCAGGAATATAGACATATTTCTGTAGAAAAATGCTAGATTTCGACAGAGACGTAGAACATGATATCAGATTAACATGATATCAGATGCAACGATTTTGCTCTATAAAAACGATGTCAATGGTATTTTATTCCGATGGATTAACATAAACTATGACCGATACATAAACACAACTTTGCAGAAATCAACGAAGAACAATTGATTTCAAATGATTTTCATTGCACAATAGCGATACATGCATTTATATTACCTATAAGCACGACTTTTGCAAAGCTATTAATTCATATTTATTTTCGTCATAGGAAGCAACTGAGCGATAATATAAATATGTTACAAAGTCTTTTGGCAGGGTATATGGTTGTGTATAAACGGCTGTTAACTGTTCTGTTTACTGCCTTCGTCTGGTAGATAGAAGCTCGGTTACACAAACTGCATATGCCATATCACTGGTCATAAGTCTTTATAGTGCATGTTTTTAAGTATATATATACATATAAAGTATCTTACTGCAGTCTAGGTCGACGATATATAAAGACGGACATCTGGAATATGTTCCCCATCTTCCAGACAAACATTGTGATAGATCATCCTCCTTCCCTGTGCATGATAAATCCCTAACATTGTAGGAATATCCGCTATGATACCTTCGTGTTATAGTACCAGCTCTGAAATATATAACTGGTTCACTGTTTGGTGTTGTGCGATGACTTTTGCTAGAAACCTTGTTTTATTTCACCAATTAAGTACGCCTACATTATCTCAACTTTAAAGATCGTGTATGTTATAATTGAGGTTGTATAACACACGTGTATATATTTTATATATGTATATAGTTATGCTTTTAAAATAATTTTCAAACATCGAAGAATATGTAAAATATGTACTGCAAATATTTGTGCACATTATATGTAATCATTAAAATATATGCATTCATTTCGTATTGAAAAAATTGACTTAGACTTTATAGAATATAATTACCTTCCTTTATTTACATGAAATGTTAAATTCGGTAATATCTTTATAAATGATGCTTTTTGGAACTTACAATATTGATCAATCTTAATTTGAGCATAAAACCAAAATAAAATGTGTTACAGGATCTTTAAACTATAATGGGCGAGAGGTGTGGAAAATTTAGATTTGTACAAGATTTAGCTGTCGATAAAACCACATCATGATCTTTAACTTATCACAAAATGTAAACAACCAAGCCCAAGAGTACACAGGCTTTTTATCCATGGCATTTTCCACTGTAAATCTGATTGTTGATACTATCCGGACAGACCGCGATAAGTTTCTCTTTGTCATTCTCTACTTTTTTCTTTGTCAAGCTTTCGTGTATATATCAGGATGTAAGAAAATGGTAAAAAGCAAACGGAATATATCAGGTAAGACCAATGTCTTCATATTTTTCATTTAAACAGTCAACTATTTTTTCTTTAATGTCTCGCTAGTTAAATGTTTGAAACATGCATGTTCCTCAGAGCAATAATGCACGTCAAAATTAAGATTTTAATGAAAATAAAATTTTAATTTTGAAATTGAATCTTTATCAAATATATTTTCATATAAGAAAATGATTCTAATGTATCAATTCATCAACTTACACATCTGTACCATTAATCATTTTACAGGCAACACGAGCTTCATTTGGACCGAACCCGTCGTAGCAAATATCCGTCCATCTTCCCTGATACTCCACTTGAAGTTGACCATGCTTTGAATTCGGTCCATTGATAAACCGAATGTCTGTATCTGAAAAAAGTTTCATCTTGAGCTAATTCACCTTCGTGTTAAGACCAGATTCATAAAATAACGAAAAAAACCCCAAACAGCAACAGAATTTCTAACGAAGCCCAACGTCAAAATTGAAAATGTTGCAGGCTCGGTTTGATTGAGTCTGTTCAGTGACAGAAATGGTAATTGCAAGCTACCGTCCACGTCCCTTACCACCGGCAGAATTCAACATTAAACATGAACTAGTAAAACTTTGAATTCTGAAACATCCGCAGATGTGTTCATTTGGCGGTCATCACTTTAAACACTTTAAAATATGTCTTAATAAACTATTTTCTTGTAGATATTGTACTTTTGTGTTTTGTTTTCTGAATTTTGTTTATTTCGATCAATTAACACTGTAGGCCTGACGTTACTTATATCAAACACAGTAGAGCTAGTTGAAAAGAAAAGACGCCACGCGGTGCGGTAGGGAATCACATGAATCACAATAAATAATAAAATACAAAAACACAGATACACACGTATAATAAAAAAATATCACGCGGACTTGCAACCCTAACACACAGTTCAAACTATTCTCCTATTGACAATAGTTGTAGAAGTTGTTAAACAATGAACATTGACTCTTCATATCATATCAGACTTGAATACATGCCATCAGATAATCTAAAGGAAATTAAGGCATAAATATGAAGAAGTAAAACATAGTTCAACAAACTTCCATTGCTTCTTTTTTTAAACAAGAATATAGAAATTAAATAAGAGAGTATTTTACTATCATTATCAAGTACTTTATCTATCAGGTGTTTCGAAATTAGGTGTATGCCTTCATTCACGAAAATTTGAACCGTGCAACCAAATCAAATATGGATTACAAAAAGTTGTATTACCACCGCATTCCACCTGGACGTGATAATATGAACTGCAGTAACTTTCATATATGTAACACTGACTGAGATCTTCTTCTTCTCCCCCGCAGGTAACTATATAGCCGGGGCGACTTGATCCGTAATATGAGTCATATGAAGTGTTTCTGAAACATCCAGAATAAAAAGAAAAGAATCAATGTTTCATATCAGAAAGAAATTCACATAATGCCGTCTCTCTAACAGTATGAATAATTAGAATGACATAAACGTAGATGTAATCAAAAGTCATTTTTAAGAAAGAAAAATACCAATATGATATTGAATAAAACTCATACAAGTTCTGAGATCATTATACCTTGAACTTAATCCCATTGTTCTACAGATGACGCCTGCTGCATTAGTATCAAAGTTGGTAGTACAAATAGTTGCCCACCTGCCGTTATATAATATTTCAACCCCTCCCATTCCATAACCGCCATTATATAGCTTTACTTGTGTGTCTTATCAATTGCCGAACCCGTTTTAAGAGTTAGTTGAAATACAAGATCATAGGTTTGATAGGTCAGAAACAAAGAAGTAGATTACACTTTTAATTTTGAAACACCTGTAATCAATAACTTGCATTTTAAAAATGAGTTTCTGTCATCAAGTTATTGTTCTTTCATTGCTTGGTTTTGAATATTTAACATTTAAGTTTGAAAACAGAAAGAACATTTGCAGTCCTTATGCCGTAAAATCCAAGGTCATTTTAAAGTTTAATTCTAGGCTAAGATATCTTTTTTACCATCATTTTAATCATTCATTGGAGAGGTCATCTTAACTGCATTATTGTTCGGATATTGGAACAATGAAGGCAAAACAATCACCATTAACTAAATATTAATGAATAGAAATTAGAGAAATTAGAAATTACTTACTGCAGTCTACACCGACATTTTGATAATAATAATTACAATAGTGGCCACTTTTCCATTTATCAGACTTGCAGAAAAAGATTTCATCTTCTGTACCGTTACATTGAAGGTCTGTTATAATAACAGGTCCTTGGCTTTGTCCGTAGTAATTATTTCCATGTATTGTAGCGTTGCTGAAAATGATAAATATATTAAATTCGGTACTTGCCCCTCACCGCTGTGGGTTCGAATACCGACAGAGACTTTGGAGTCTTTCATGTGAGGAAGCTATCCAGCTAGCTTACGGAACGTCGGTGATTCTACTCAGGTGCCCGTTCGTGCCTGAAATAATGCAGGAAGGAAACCTGAGGGCCCCCTCCACTAGTAAAGCTGGAACGTCGCCATATGACATATACGGTGTCGGTGTGACATGAAACCCAATCAAACAAACAAACAAACAAACAAACATACTTAAATGTACTAAATGTATCAAAGAAGTCGAGCCATCCAGAATATTCCTTTAATATGGAATATGCGAAACTGCGCATATCAAATATTTGTAACTTATGGTATCAAATATATACTCATGGTAAAAGCTCTATATTTGAACAGCTAACATACATATACATAATAACATGAAGCTAGGTATATGTAATAAACTAAATAATTGTTAGTCCTGTACGTCAAAATATGATACAATGTGGAACTTATTCATTACATATCAACTGTGTTGCTACGAGAACAGTTATGAAAGGCACTGATTATACAACAAATAAACTGGAAGGGCACCAGCGATTATTAATACTTCAACCGATTTTCAAAAAGAAAATAAATCTGTACTTACATCAGTCCAATTGTTGTGTTCCGAATCATGCCACAAACGACGTCTGCGTCATCTTGGTCAAAGTATGATTCGCATACACTTCCCCATTCACCTTTATAGTAAACCTCTAGTCTCCCGGCGTAACGATGCGGACCATCAACTAACCTTACAGGGGTCACTGTAAACATTGATGACATTAAAATGAATATCGCAACATCACTGTGCAACGCTTATCATTTTAGATCTATTATTCACTATAAAAAATGATTATTCTGGAAAAACAGGATGAAAGAATGAGCTGAAAATTTGCAAACATGTTATTGGCTAATACTAAATTAATTGGTACACAAATCATTAAAATATTTTAAATTCTGTTTTGTCAAATAACCTTAGTTGAGTCATTTTAAATTTACATCGAAACCATGAAATACGAATTTCACGAAAGTAATAAAGGTGAATGTGTACAAATAAAATATCAATTCTAAAAACCCGACACCATGCTAAGCATATTTCATTGTCATGTTATTAAAGCTAATTAAGGAAGACAAAATTTGCATTTAGAACTATGTGTTCACTGACGACATAATTTAACTTAAAATATGTAATTTAAAAATCCATTCTTCAACAAATTCCACTGGTATCAATAGCACCGAAAAATGTTTTCGTATGTAATGCATTTTTGTGTACCTGTAGAAAAGGTGAATCATTTTTATTAAATGCTTTAGACACATATTTGACCGTTTAAACAATCCCTTTTCAATCCCATTATCTTATCCCAATTAAAAATATTAAGGATACTAAGGCAAATGAATGACAACTAGAAATGTGTCCATAGGACATGGGTGCCCCCACCGCGCCACTGTTCTGTCAATCTTATGACTCTAAGTCAAATATTTTTTGAAAACTAAAAATCTTATACTAAGTAAAGGGCAAGAACTTTACAAATACTGAATAAATCCACAAGCAAACCCCAAGGTGCATAAGTACACATGCTGACCAACATTCTTGTAAACTTTCAGGCCTACAAGTGAAATACTTTTTGAGCTATGCATGAACAAGTTGAAAATTGCAAAATTATACTAGTGTAAGTCAAGGGCTATAACAAAACTGAAAAAAAATCCACATGCAAAGTCCCAGATGCATAGCTACACAGTGATGTGAATATTTATTCCTGTATTTTAGTGATGTTGATCATTATTCCTGTAAAGTTGATTGATTCTAACTCAAGCACTCAAGGAACAAATAACAACATAATGAAACGGGTTTTACTAAGTCAAGGGAAATAACTGGATAAATTCACAAGCGATACCCCAGGTGCAAAACTTTATATGCTGAGCAACTTTCCCGTAAGGTTTAATGACTCTATGTCAAATCCTTTTTGAGTTAAATGCGACATAGTTTGAAAATTGCAAAAAAATCTAAGTCAAGGGCAATAACTCTAAAAATACTAAAACTATCCAGACGAAAATACCCAGGTGCACAACAACATATGCTGATCAACATTCCTGTAAAGTTTCATGACTCTATGTCAAATCCTTTTTGAGTTACATGCGACACAAGTTGAAAATTGCAAAATTTTACTAAGTCAAGGGCAATAACTCTAAAAATACTAAAAATATCCAGACGAAATTACCAAGGTGCACAACTTCACATGCTTATTAACATTCCTGTAAAGTTTCATGACTCTAGGTCAAATACTTTTTGAGTTAAGTGCGACAAAAAAGTGAACGGACGGACGGACGGAAGGACGCACGGACAGACGGACAGACGGACAGACAAACAAGGGTAAATCTAAATGCCCGCAACTAAAGATGGGGCACAAAAATATTAAAAAATTATCTTATGTACTCTAATCATGCAAAAATAACATTTGTTAAAGTCCCAACATGAACTTTTGTATACATTTTATTTATATATACAATGTATCTATATATGTTGACCGAAATATCGTTGCCGACAGAATCATCGATCAGTTTTAAAACTAGTCATGTGACTTGAACAAACCATGGAAGTTACAATAACAGATATTGTAGATATTGTATGATTGAAAAAAAAAAGCTAATGCATTCATTTGACGTGTTCTTTGACGTTTTCACCGTGACAACTTATGTGAAATCTTTACGCTCTAACCTGACCCACGTGGGTCAAGTTAAGAAACCAACATTTTATTCCTAAAGAAGAAAAGTTTTGTTCCTGTGATTGCCAAGTGTATTCTCTTTGAGAACATTTACATATTAATGAATGACAAATTCAAAAAAGAAGAAATGAAAATTTTGCCTGTGTCTCCCTTTAGGCGTTTTACATCTTGTATTTGACCTGGATCAATAATTGCCAAATTGATACAAACATTCCTACAGAAATGGAACATATTGTGGAATCAACAAAATGTTAGCCTCCAGTTCAATCAATTAGAATAAGTATTTGGAATGATTTTACGATAATGTTGTTATAGCAGCTCGTTCATCATATAATTCAATTTAATATGATTTTATACAAGGGACATTGTTTTGAGAGTACATGATTCGTTTGAGACTATGACTTTCAGTCTTGTTGCCACTTAAAAAAGTTAGTAGCACATGGTCAAGGACAGCGCTCTCAAGTCTTTTTCGATTTATAATTGCCTTCAAACCAAGAACGAAATTTTTATAGCACTAATTGTGTTTCGTCATGTAATTGTAGAGAATTTACATTAACCTTTTTTGTATTCGTAAAGCTCACAAAATTTATCATATTAGTGCCCCGAATTCAGATAGCCTCTGCTAACATACTACCGCCATAGAAACAAGAACTGTTGCTTTACTTTCTGCCTTGTAAAATAGAGATATAGAAATGTCCATTTAAAAGTATAAAGCCAATAAATCAAATCGATCCTGATTAATTCAAAGATGAAATGGATGTAATATCGTTAAATGTCAGGATAAATCCTTTGCATGTATGATTTGATCTAGATATGTGTTTACAATCAGCCACTAACAGTTCACAGTCTCGTAAAATAAACCTTTTGTAGTATCATTTAAAGTTGCAGTAAATAATACATGAACATATTGATAATCAATGATAGTGAAGTCCTATATACTGATGAGAATGTTTTACACAATGTTTCTTCCCCCGATCATTTATAATCTACTTAGAAAAACTTTGAGAGATTTGAGTCTATAACTATACAGTGACAAATACTAAATGGTTCGATATCACTTATATTGTTCAGATTGGAAATAAAACATCATTTTGGAAAATATAAAATTTACTTACCTGCAGAACAAAATGATATGTAAAAAACACCCATGACGCCAACCAAAACGATTGTAAACTTCATTTTGTTTATAGGAGAACTATGTGCGTCGCATCCTCCCCCTTTTTGACAACACGGAAATAAGATAAAACGTAGCTATAATCTTGAATAAAAGTTTAGTTATGTATGTAATACATGAAAACTCGAGTGATTATCATTTTAAGATTTAATCTATACATTATTTATATACGTCCGTTTCCTACATATATACATATATATACATATTGATGTACCAAATATACCCGCAATCAGTTGTTTTCCTTATAGTTCAATTTAGCGAGATTAAAATTTCAGAACAAGGATATAAATCAAAACACAGAAGGCGCTGAATTTGTGGGATACTACACCAATTTGTTTGTATAGTGTCACCAATGCTATTTCCAGTGTTATTATTATAGTAAATTGGCTATAACACTAATTGCAACACTGATATTCAATTCAATGTTTATTTGCTTAAACAATTAAAAAAAAAAACAAAAAAAAAACAACAACAAAAGAACAACAAAAAAAGAGAAAAAAAAACAGAGAAAAAAAACAAAAACAAAACAACATGAATTGCCTGAACTGGGATTTGAACCTCAGACCTCTCGCTTCTGAAGCGAGCGTGGAAACCCCTCTGCCATGGGGAGTTATAAGATGACATGCTGAATAATACCATATTATTCTAAATTAGAGTTTGTAACCCATATGAATTTCGATATATTTTGTTCACGGTAAACCTGTTGTTTAACGTTGTTTAACACTGAAGTAAATAATCATGGAGCTGAATATAAGCAAGTATATCTATAAGAACAACACAGTATTAGAAATCTTCAACCAATCGGGAACTATTTCTTCGTAACGAAAATTAATGCGCCTGTCATTTGACAATATTTACGCAGTGAACCCCCATAAATTTTTCGGCGTTAATGTACATATGAAGGGAAGTTACGGCTCCGAGGAGTTTGGACTACTTTCGGTATTTGCAAATAAAAACATCAGCGTCTGAAGTTTTTGCTACCATTATTTGTTTGGTCTGACGACCCAAACAAATAAAAAGTGCCCTTCATTTTTTCTGATGTTGCAAAAACATTAATTGTGACATTCCTATTGTAGTAAATTGAATTGATTTGTGTATGTTGTTACAGAAAACAATAATGAATTATTGATGTGGCTGTCCGGGCTATTATATACTTTTCATTTATAAAATTAAAATCTATATAAAAAAATCATTATTTATCGAGTCCGTTTGACACATGAAATAAAATAAACATTTTTCATTGACAATCTGAGTATCTGTGTAGTTTACTAAAATCCAAAGATCTAAAGACAAATACAAAGGACATTCTTAGCACTTAGTATATTTTAAAACATGGTTGCTATTTTAAATAATTACTGTAGTTACGTTAAAAACCAATTATATATAAAATATTTGACTTTTGTATTGCTGAGTCCAAGTTTCAACATCAGTATACAAACATGTTATTCACCACTTGCTTAAAATTGTTTTTTTACGTTTATGTAGACTGTTTTAAATGAACACAAAGAGTGTTCCCTAGCAAAAATACGTTAAAATATGAACTTTGTGAGTAATCGTTCAACAACTATATGAAGATGGATCAAACCCTATTCTGTAGTGTTGATTTAAGAAAAGACTAAATGACAGGCAGTTAATTTGTTTTATATAAAGAATTTTCAACGTAAAGAAAGATCATTGCCAAAATGAAATTCATCACTTTCAGTTTTGGAAAATAAAAAAATAAATAAATAAATAAATAAAAAATAATAAAAAACCCTAAAAACAAAAAACCAATTTGTATTATTCTTATAAAAGAACCCAAAGCAGTAAACAAGCTGCATTACTTTTATTCAAATATGACATAAATCAACAAGCATTCAGCATTTACAAAGATAATTTTTCTAATAACGCAAAAATGTTATTTAGCATGATACATTAAACAATAAAAGATATAATATAATTTTTATGTGAATAACAGCTAAGCTATTTATCAAAAAGAGAAAATTGTCGATTTCTGAAGGAAAGTAACTTTTCGACATATCACATTTGATTTTAATAACAATGAATATAAACATTCATTTTACTCAGCGTTGTCCGAAGCCGACTGGTTTAGGTCGTTGACTTCAAACCACTTGCGCCCTCACCACCGTCGGTTCCCGGAGGAGCATCTGAGATTTCCCCAGATGGAAATCCCTATATCACTGTGTTGGTCGGAATTAAAATCCGACAATAACAACAATAACAAAACTTATTTTACAAGTTACAACTACCTCCACTTAAATAGTACATATATATATAGTTTCTATATTTGTCGCAACCGCTTTCAGATAAAAGTACATAAATTCAAAAAAGATCAGATTAAAGCACATATGATCTTTAAATGTGATCATAACTTTCAAGTAAAAACACATATTATCCTTTACACTTGACAAACACACAACCAGTCAAGTTTAAGCATGACAACTACTAACAGATTCTGTCATAGCAACAACAACTTTAATCCAAAACAACACGTGGTAACCATTTTCGGACAATAGCGAATTCGACCTTTGACTAGTTATACTCAATTTTCATCCAAAAACATATTCAATCCTTTTCACTTGGTTGTCATTTTCAGTAAAAGAAGATTTTTCCTTTTTCATACTCACTTTCAGCCCATAGCGAATGTAAACTTTTCTGCACTTAAGCAAACATGCACACAGAATGATACATACAAACATATTATTTTAGTCAAAATCCAAAATCCATTTAGTTTAATCCATTCTGAAATCCATTTTATGTACACTTCCGTCACATTTAATTGTTTCAACAACGATATCTGAACTACCAAAAATGAGCCGAACATCGATAGAGTCGTTTCTTCTATCAGATTCTCGCTCCACAAAATAAAGCCCAACAAACTCGCATCCGGACTCATCAACAAACATGGGATCTGGATTTGTCGACTTATATAACACGATCGAATATCCTTGGTCTTTTTCAGAGGATGGAAAATATGTGCGTGTAATCTGAGTCTCACCAGTGACAACAGTTTGTCCAACCTGAACATGCTTGTCGAAGACATCATCACACATCTTCTGCCCTTCTATCTTTATCTTTTTTCTTTCGGGATGTTTTCCCTTTACAAAATGTACCGTCATTGACACCCTGTAAGTAAAGCTAGATATTATTTCTGTGATTTTAGAAGGTTGATGGCCAAACAAGACAGCGCCTTTCATAATACAGAGACTTGCGTCAACTGGTGTAATCACCACAACTTCTCTCTGGAAGGCATCTTCAACAGCCCTCTGAAGAACTGTGGACTCTGAAAATCCACCAACCATTTAGGTGGCCTCTACCGGTCTTTGAAGAGAGTTAATTAAATCCCGAACATGTGTAATAATATCTGTAACAGCAACGTTGAAGAATGAGATAAACACTTCAGCGTCAATTCTAATCTTATCCCTAACGATCTTTATTTTACTTTTGTACTCTGTGTTTAACACTTGTTATTCAACGATGTGTCTGCAGACTTTTGAAACATATCCTGTAACTGGATTGGCATCCTTATCGTGACAGTTTCCATGGAATCAGGTTTGGTCATTTTTTTCTTGTTCTCAAATTCGTCGAGCATTTCCATATAGTCAGCCTTGTGGGTACTGGAAAATTCTTCGAAAACTTCAGGTCCTACAAGATTGGAGACAAAGCTAACAAAGGTTTTGTTTACAGCTGTTCCTCCTCAATTTACACCAGTGGCACTGTGAAGTTCCTTCAAACTGTTGCCTTCAAGCACTTAGTGTACTTTCACATCAACTGTACAACCTTGAGCAAGACCAAACATATTATGATCGAGAAGTTATCACTGACATCGAAGATCGAAATTCAGTTGATAGTGAATACCGAGCTAGCTTTGAATTTCGAGCTAGCTAAAACCAAAGCCGAATTTCGAGCTTGAGTTGAATTTCGAGTTAGCTCGAAAATCGAAATTCAAATTTTTCAAAAGCCGAATATCGAGCTGGGGTTGAATTTCGAGCCAGCTCGAAGATCGAAATTCATGATTTTTAAAGCGCTAATTTCGAGCTGGAGTTGAATTTCGAGCCAGCTCGAAGATCGAAATCAAAATTTTCAAAACCCGAATTTCGAGCTGGAGTTGAATTTCGAGCCACCTCGATGATTAAAATTCAAAATTGCAAAACCCGAATTTCGAGCTGGAGTTGAATTTCGAGCCAGTCCAAAGGTCGAAATTCAAAATTTTCACAACCCGAATTTCGAGCTGGAGTTGAATTTCGAGCCAGCTCGAAGATCGAAATTCAAAATTTTTAAAACCCAAATTTCGAGCTGGAGTTGAATTTCGAGCGAGCCCGAAGATTGAAATTCAAAATTTTCAAAACCCGAATTTCGAGCTGGTGTTCAATTTCGAGCCAGTCCGAAGATCGGTAGGTAGAGCTTTGGATTTCAAATCCGGTGACCCGGGTTCCATTCCCGGGCGGCGCACTCTCATTTTGATTCGTATCGATATTTTCTATCAAATTTCATTTCACTTGTAAAGCAGTTTTTTGTTGTTGTTATTTAAACGAAGCGCATCCACTGAGCAGTGTAATTTTGAACTGGAAGCTAATGTTAAGTTTTGCCTAGCTAAATTAATATTTTAAGTATGTCACAGTCAAAGCTTAGAACGAACATGATAATCAATATCAAAGTCATAAATTACAAAACCTGAAAAAATGTCGTACTGTATTGTTAAATCTTCTAGTTTTGTACAATATACATGTACTACAATGTACATGTACAAAGACAAAATACATAAGTACATACGTCATAGCAACACAATATAATAATACCTTGAGAAGAATACTATTTGAAGTTAAGATCTACCATTTTTAGTATGGGAATACTTTCCCTTGAATGTAGAATCATACAGCATTTCCTTTTTATTCAGCAGTTCTTTTACATAAAGACCACAACAGACAAATCTGTAGATCCTTGAACACAGAGCTGATATTGTCAGTCTATTTAGTATTGCTATACCATTCATGAATTTGGTGTATTCTAAGCTTGTTACACTTGAAAAGTACCACATGAGTACATGTATAATACATGACGCAAATTAAATAAACTCAGTATTTGACCATCCCTACGTC